TCTCGTTCCCTCCTTCACTGGCCATGCCTTTTCTCCATCTCTGGGCCTATGGGTAGGCATCCTGCAGTTGTCAAGGTAACCTGACCCCCTTTAAAAAACACAATACCCAGAGGGCTGCTTAAGCTTTTCACAGATACAATGGAGCCCACGCTATTGGGTGACAGTTTCTTTCACTCTTGCTGGCTGGACTCAGGGCTTCATTGTAAATTAACTGACAAGCAGGGAACCCATTTAAATAGCTTAAATAGTGCAAACCTTTGGTACTGAATGGCACAATACACAACAAAGGACAGCACAAATATGACTAAGAATAATAATAACAGGCTCAAGGAAAAACTCAATACAACTACAGAAAAAAATCTATTCTGAATTGTGTTGCAGCAATTATAATGGTCAAATAATTGGTAGCTAGGAACACATTTATTTCTTTGGTGGTTTTATTTCTTTAAGGCTTCATGGTGATTCATTTTTATTAAAGCATATAGCACTTAACATTTCCATAACACTTCAGAACTGCAATGCTAACAAATATGCAAATGGTGGTAAACAGTGTCATGTAATAAGTTTTTTGAAAAACAGAAAGTACAAAAAATAGATTTTCAAATGTATTGCAAGTAGCGTAAAATTATTTGAATTAAAAACTAAATTCAAACTATAAATAGGGAACAGCTATGATGGAGAAAGGCTAAGGTAGCCTGAGAGGAGGTTCATAGTGAGGGCCTTTTGGTAAAGGGAATGAAAATGTCCTGAAAAAGCATAAAACTTCAAATAAATACCAGTCAACTGTTTGGACACACTTTACCACTGAATTCAATTGTAAAGTGTGTCCAAACATTTAAATGGCAGCATACAAAACACAAAAAGTGATCAAAATAAGTACGCACTGGGCTGTCTGAGTTGGCTGCAAACACTTGAAACACCAAAAATCACAATCAGGGTTTGGGAAACCTCTCAGCTCCATGATAGAGAACATGAAGGTACATCACACTGTGTTGAATGTTGGGACAGGGACACCATTTTGGGAAAGATGCGCTGTATTTACCTGCTTAATGTTCTTGTTTTGTTTGGCTTAAAAGGTTTAGATCTCACTTTACTGACTGTGGTAATTCAGAATGGATAACTTTAACTGACTGTAGCTAAAAGCTAGAGATCCCATTGGCAGGAAAAAAAACAAACAAAAACAAAACAAAAAAAGACTACACCCTGACCTTAGCTCCACTCAGTTGGGGAATGCTAGCTAGCAGCTGTCAAGCAGATAACACAAACCCTGCAGATGACAAGTTTTAGTTATGTAGTGTATACACTGCATAGACAATACATACAAAAAAGGCTTTTCTGGTGTTTGGAAATGTTTCACAAATTAAATTAAAATTAAATTAAATATCCATGTCTTAAAAATACACAGTGGAAAGATAGATAACTGGACTTTGCAGTGGCACCGAGGACCTGGGAAAACGCGTCAGGTGAGCAACTTTCATTGTACAGAACAGGGACCAAGTTTCAAGCCGGTATCTAGGCTTTATAATACATCTGCTACAAACATTTTGTCTATTCACACATAGCCAGACCTGTGGTTCGTCCAGCTGCTCACATTCTATAAGAAAATTCCTAAAAATAGCGTCTGACAGATGGTATCCAAGATGCACTCACAAAAACAAATTTCAAAAGTAAAATTAAACAATATAGCCTACTATACTGTGAGCACTACAATTACTCCCCCCCACCACGACAAAATATTTAAATTATATGGAAGCACACTGCATTCAAAAAAACTGGAGACCTTACCTTCAAGGCCTCAGTTTACAACTAGCATTTTGCTGTTCTTTTGACTCTGTATTTAATGTGTTTGGGAATCGTAGACTAGATAACGAACTGCAAGTGAAAATCGGGGGAGCTAATATAGAACGAGTATATGAAATTAAATTTCTAGGTGTCAGAGTTGATGATAAATTCACCCGGAAATCTCATATCAGATATATTCAGCACAAAATAGCAAAAAATATATCGATATTGGC